AATGACTTTAAGATGAGAAGCGATAAGGATGGTTGAGTTTTTCTACTCATGAAAAACGATCTGGAAAATTTTTTCAAAACAAATGGATGTTTAGTAAGATGTTCAGTTTAGTTGTTTAGAAATTTTACTAATTCCGATTAAAACTAAAGCTAAATGTACTTTTCTGATACAGCTCTTAGTTTTTGTGGTTAAATAAGTTTTCAACTTAAAGAAAATTTTACAAGTTATTATATTTGTTGGTTACAAATTGCATTATACGAAAATTTTTTTGTACAGTACATTCAGATGAAAGCAAACAGTTTTAAATTACGACAAAAATGTTGAAACGTTTTTGCTATTACCCCAAAAAATGATAAAAAGTTAGAAAGAGCAAAAAATGTGATCTCAATTTAACTTCAAAAGACGAGGCAATCGATCATCTTGTCGAATAACATGTAAAATATTGCTTCCTAAGTTTCTACAGACAATTATGAATGTTGTAAAAGCAAATTTAATAACGTTAGAAATATTTTTAAGTTATTTATGTGGCGCCCAATTCGCTGCCTATCATTCAAATATAATAATTGTCAGTGATATATTCGGAAAGAAAAATTAAATTTATTGAATATGAACGAAAATGCATTGAATAAAAATTGAAATTTAGTATTGAACACTAATATAGAAATAACTGTGCAAGGCAAAGCATAGCCAAAAACCAACTTTTATTACTACAATAACTGAAGCTTCTACGACAACTGCTATTACTACTACTAGCGTTACTACAGCAGCGACAGCCAAAACTTGTGCTACAAGATATAAAGAAACACACCACGCAAAAATAATTCTACTTAAACAATCGCATGCAGTCCTTCATTAAAAAGTAACGAATCTAAAAACACATCAAAACGCTCTGCGCTAGGTAAATGATGGCTAGAAACAAAATATAAAAATAAATAAAAAAAAAATTAAATAAAAATTTAAGAAGACGTCGGGAGGCACTTAAATGCTGATAAATGATGCTGATAAATGATGTAATACATTTTATCACCTTTTTTCATGCTACATTTGATTATTCTTGATAAAACTTACTCATTCTTTTCATTTTAGGTACTAATACGTGCGTATTGTTTTATAAAATGCACGGTGTTAACATGTTGCCATCTTGAGTTATTGTCAAGTTGCAATATCAAGTCGTTGCGTTGTTGTGATGTTGTTAACGTTGTTGTGACGTTGCTGTTGTAAATTTTTCAATAAAAAAGTTTACTGGAGAAAATGATTTAAAGAGGATTTTAAAGTAGGAAATGATTTGCATCAGTTGTCGGCCTGACATTTAAATGTCATCCGAATTTCATCGTTCATCAGCCTGCTTTCTGCACAATTTCTTTCGTAGATTCATCAACGCTCTCTTTTTATTGTTCATGTGGGTTTTCAACAATATATCAACCGTAGATTCACACACATGCACAGACACACACACAGACACACACATATGCATACACACTCATATAACATAACACAACACATCATATAAACCAAACACAAAAACATGCCTACCAAGCTGAAGCGTTAAGGTGGGCTGACCAAATGATGATCCACGTTTCGTGCTTTCAAATGTAGACCACATTTGTCACTTTTGATTAAAATAAAGAAAGTTCTTTTGTTTCAGAGGAGATGGCGTAAAAAGTGAACTTAATTGAAATTGATGATTTCTTTCTAGGTTAACTTAATTAAATAGATCTGTATTCTTGACACTATCACGTGATATCATTTTTAAAATCATATTATTCAAATTTAAAATTATTTTAATAGTTTCAAGCTTACGAAAAACGTAATCCCATGAACGTAAACAAATTTGTTGAAAGTTTCACGCAATATTTGCACATATGTGTGTTGCTGCATTCGTTCACAAGACGAGCGTGCACTTGGGAGATACAGGGGTTCTCTAGATAAATCGAGATTAATCAAAGCCGTAAGTTATTGAACATGTGCGTGTTGGTCTCGTGTTTTTACACATTTTTTTAATATACCTGTATCCTATGTATTATAACAAGCATATCTAATGTACAATAATATTTATGTTACTAATGGTTGCTATTAAAAATTGTTGTCTCTGATGTGTTTTAACTGGCGTCTAGAGAAAAAAATTAAAAAATACCATCTGTTGTATTTTGAAAATCAATATGTAATCTATTTGACGTTTTATCGTTGTTGTAACAGGCGCCATTAAATTCTATTAATTCATTCTACGCTTCGTACTTATTACTATGCCTTATGTTATATATGATAATTTTTGTTGATGTTACTAAGTAAATGTGTGACCTTCAACTTCAAATATAAAATTTAGTTAAGAATTGAAATGAGACAACCCGAAATGAATAAATGTTATGAACAGCACGGACAAATGAACCAGTAGGTACTCGAGTTTAAAAATTACGAAAATCAAAAATATGACATAAAAATAAAAGCAAACAAAACTGCATTGTAAAAACTATTTTGTGTGTGTGTGTGTGTGTGTGTTAACAAGAGATAGCACCATGCATTACAATGCTCTCATTATGTTTCCTCTTAATTGAATCATATATCTCACTATGATTGTTGTTTTTTCAATATCATTTTTGCATTTGCACTAAGTTGATGTTTATATTAGACTTTTTATCATATACATATATATATATATATATGTATATATATATACATATTAATACATTTATATAACAAAGGCCAACTCGGTGTTTTTACCAGCGAACCCTGGAACAAACACTGGGCGGCTCTGCCTCCCAGGGTCTAGCGCCTATAAACGTACATGATGATTATATATATATATATATATATATATATATATATATATTTACACACACTCACACACACACACACACATATATATTTTTTTTTAATCCAAATTTTATTTGACAGAAAAAATAAGTCAGGAGAACAAAAAAGTAACAAACTACTTGTGCAGACCACCTTAACTAATTAAAGTTCGTGTGCAATGTACAAAACACAAAGTAGACAAGTCGTTAAATAGAATTAAACATAATAAAAATATATATATACATACACACACATACACACATATACACACACATACATATATATAATAACATCTTAAACATCGACGGACATGGACATAACTTCGCTCTTAGCATAATGCTTAAAGTGTTCAATTGTAAGTTGCAATTGCATAGCTAAAACGTTCCAAAGTCTAACTCCCTTAGCAACCCAACTTCTATCGTAAGTAGAAGTTCTAACTTTTTTTGACATCAACATACCATGTTGTCTGGTGGCCGATGTGATCTTACAAAAAACATTTAGGTGCTTATAATCGTTATAAGAAAGAATTTTATAAAGAAAAATCAGAAGAATGTAATTGTGTAATTGATCAAACTTAAGAATTTTATGACTTCGGAACAAATGATTGGTGTGATCACGATAACTTAAGGAGAAACACAGGCGTATAAAACTCTTTTGCAGCACAATGATCTTATTGATTAGATATTTACTTGCGGATCCCCAGAAAACATTCCCATACAGCAGATAGGGATATAGAAAAGAATAATAAAGCATCATCATTGTTTCAGTATCCAATCTGTTTCTCGCTTTAAATAATATTCCAATAACTTGATACAATTTCTTGACTATTTTGTTAACGTGATTGGTCCATTTTAAATCACTTTGAAGTATAACCCCCAAAAATTTTATCGATTGCACTCTTGGGAGCACAGTGCCCTGAATGAACAATTTATTTTTTTCTAGAATTTTGTTATTAGTACTTATTTTAGGGCCAAATATAATATAACATGATTTACTTAAGTACTCAAAAAAATATTGGTGTCGTCGGCGAACAGGATTGTAGTACATTTATCTGATATTGAAAAAATATCATTTACAAAAATTATAAATAATAGGGGGCCGAGTATCGAACCTTGGGGCACCCCTGTTTGAATTTTAAACGGAGGAGACACTACATTATCAACTGAAACAAACTGACTCCGATCAGATAAATACGACCTGAACCAGTCAAACACAACTCCACGAAAACCGTACATCGACAACTTTTGTAGCAAAATTTCGTGATCAATTACATCAAAAGCCTTTTTTAGGTCAATGAAAACACCCAGGCTAAATTTTTTCTTATCGAAACCCTCCAAGAGAGACAAATGCAACTCGGCAATGGCCTTCTCAGTTGAAGATTTTGGGACAAAACCATACTGATGTCTATTGATCACGCTATGCTCAATCAGATAATCCCACATACGATTGAACATTAGCTTTTCAAGAATCTTGGAAAAAACCGGCAGTATTGAGATTGGACGGTAATTTTCAAAAAGAGTCGGGTCACCACCTTTAAAAACGGTATTACTTTAGCCATTTTTAAATCATCAGGGAATTTGCCCATTTTAATAGAATCGTTAAATAGTTTTGAGATTTGACTAGCAACATAAAAAACAGTATGTTTGAGGATCTTAGTAGAAAGAAAATCACAATCAAAACTATTTTTCAAATTCAAATTGCCAACGACCGAGACAATCTCATCCGGAGTTGTGTCTCGTGGAATAAATATTGGGTTATTAGAAACCAATATGGACCGACATTTGAGATCAACTGACCATCGCCTAAAATTTTATTGATATTTTTACCTATCTCAACAAAAAATTTATTCAACCCTGTAACGGTGCTCAATTTAGCAGTTTCACCGGCATCATTTGAGAACAATTTATTGCATGATTTTTTTGACCCCAAAATTTCATTAATTATCCTCCATCTGTGTTTTGTTCCAGGTTGATTTTTTAATTTATTTTCAAAATATTTTTTTTCCGTGAATCTTTTGACATTTATAAATTTATTTTTAACCTTATTATATGCATTTTTATTTGCAGGGGATGGATTGTGTAGATGCCTTTTGTAAAGAACATTTTTATACAAGGAAAGATTATAAAGATCGATATTCATCCATGGCCTTCGGAAGCAATTTTTTTTATTCACCAATGGCAAAGCTAGATTGATGCAGTTTAAATAAGTCTTTAGGAATTTCTTAAAATTTGATTCAAAATCGGACCCGTAATCAGACATGTTCCACTGGATATTCTGTAATAAACAATTTGCTTTTTTTTTAGGTTCTCAGAATTAATCAAACGGGTTTTAATGTAAGGGTTTTTGCCACCGACAGCCTTAGCATTCAATGGTATGCAAAGAAAAATAGGTAAATGGTCAGAAACATCGCTGTATAGAATTCCTTTAGGGCAGCCGCCGATGCCATAATTAGTAAAAACATTATCGATCGTTGACGAATAGCTTGATGTTATTCTAGTCGGTTGGTTGATAATTGGATGCAAATTAAATTGAGCCATAAGATTTAAAAACGATAATGATGCCTGGTTTTTTACAGCCAAATCAATGTTAAAATCCCCAAGTATAAAAACATCACTACCGACATCGTCTTTTAAAAGTTCATATAAAAATTCCTGCATTTTAGATAAGAAATTATCCAATTTATAATTTGGTGGCCTATAAATACAAATGATTATATTTTTTTTATTGTCAGAGGCAAATTTAATTCCGACCCATTCAAACAGGTCGGAACTGAGAGAAAAATTACAATTTAAATTTTCGTACGCTAAGTTTTTATCAATTAAAAAACCAGTACCCCCACCCCTTTTACCCACCCTATTTTTCGCAACTAGACTATGGCATGGAAAATACGATAGTATAGGGCCATAGTTAGTGTCATCATTTAGCCATGTTTCACTTAAAGCAACAATTTGAGGGATATTAACATATAATTGAAAACCATTAATCAACAGTGCCAAATCATCAGCATGCGCAGTCAAACTTCTGACATTTATATGCAGTAAAAATAAATTAGAGTTATTGTTAGCTGAAACATTTAAAAAATCGATAAGTTCACAGAAAACAAAATAATGACTAATGTTATTTGGCATATAGTATTCACAATTTACAATAGCATCCACATCATCAAAATTGTTTAACACACATGATCCATCAACATCCAAAACAATTGGCATAGTTTCATCCTCATCTGCATCATCCATATCAACGACATCAGAAGCAACACAAACATCATAAGACACCGCATCACACCAATTCATCGCTCTACCACTAGCAGGATTCATATTCATTTCTTGACCATCGGTAATTTCATGATCTTCCATCTTCCTGGAGGACCCCTCACCTTGAACAAAAAATCACCACTTGCTGCCTCTTGTTTTCTAGCCTCGTCCACCAAACTCTTTAGTTCAATTCTTTGATCTTTGGTTAAGTCATGGCTGAGGCTAATATTACCAAATTCATTGTTTAACAGTTTTAGTCTCGAGAGATTGCTCATTATAAGGGCTTTAATTTTTATGTTGTCCATTTTAATCAGCAATGGCCTATTTGAGTTTTCTTTTTCTTCCCCAATCTTAATATTTTAATGACATCCTTGTCATTTACAGCATCATCTGTCAAATGCTTAAATATTTGAATGATGCGCTTTTTGTCATCACCATGTTCTGACAGTCGGAACAACATAATATTTCTTTCTTTCTCTTTAGCCTCAGATGCCTCGACCAGTGTCTTCTGCACATTTTTGAACTCAACGCTGACTGCTTCCTTCGTCTCGATCATCTCCTTTTTTAACGCTTGGAAACAGTCGTTTATCACCTCATCATTTAACTTCACAACATTTGTAGTCACAACATCTTTTAGAGTATCTGCATAAGATTTTTTAAGATTTTCCTGCAGCACCACAATCCTGTCATCAATACTTTCGTTATCATCTCTGCTGTCAATTTTTTTTTGAACAATCTTTACCTGATTACTGAGTGAGACGTTGCTTTCTTGCAACTTTCTTATCTCCTCTGTCAACTCACTTAGCTGTTTATTCGATCTAAACATGTCAATATGTTCAAGGCAGTTTTTACATATCCAGACGAAATTAACAGCCTGCAGGAGTTCTTTTGTTGTTGGTTCAGTTACTCCACTACATTTCCAATGCATAGTCACTGAACTACATAATTTACATTGTAACGAATCCTTTAAAGTCGCATTTCCATTGCAACTCTGACATTTATTTCTGCCTGCCATCAATTAAAACAACTCAAAACGTAAACACTGGACATGCAAATTTAAACTGCACTTATGTTCGACTTTAACGTTAGTATCAGTCTACAATCAGAACAAATTTCACAACTCTTAGGAGTGTATGTACAGAACTATAAACAGCCACAGTAAATAACCAGCCTAAATTATTTGCCTTTCAATTCAAACTATTAAAGATTAAATTTAAAACTAAATTTTATATTATTCAAAAAATAAATTATATATTCATAATCCCCTTAATTTTGTCTATAAAATGAACACAAATTTAGCAATTTAACTTTGAAAAAAAACGCTGAAAATTAAGAAATACGACGAGTAATCTAAATGCGTCCGATATGCTTAAATGTAAACAATAATATTATATATATATATATATATATATATATTAAGAGCAATTTGTTAGCGCTAAATAAAACTGTAGCGTGAGAGCTCTCATTAAAAAACAAAATGTTTTCAATTCTTGCCCAAATAATTCCAATGAAAGTCCAGATTTTCTAATCGCCGGTGGAAGACTTTTCTAAACAGTGGGACCAGCAACTGCAGTGTCTTTTGAACCAATTTGCAAGCGTGTGACTGGCACAGACAGCAAATTCAAATCATCTGACCTGAGATGAACAACCGATGTAGCTTGTTTTTTGGCGAATTCACTCGTCATGTATTCTAGCGGCATACCATTTAATGATTTGAACGTAAGAACTGCAATGTTGAAGACTATTCTTTTATTTATCGTCAGCCAGTGAAGCTCGTTCAAGATCGGTGTCACATGATCAAATCTTAGGCCACCAATAACAAGTTTCGCAGCTTGGTTTTGTACTGACTGGAGGATTGTGATTGATTTGTCTGGTAGTTTATAAAGTAAGCTGTTGCAATAATTGAAACGAGATGTAATAAGGGCACGAACCAGCGTTTCAATATTGATCTATCTATTGACTGCCTGATTCGATACATGCTTCTGAGGTAGATAACACTCGAGGCACAAATCTTTTTGATGTGGTCCTTTATTGACAATTTGCTATGCAGCAGAACACCTAAGTTGAAAACTGTATAGATAAATGATATATCAATATCTCATATTTTAACAGAGCTGAAATCAATCTTCGACAAATGCTGCCATGTTCCAATCGGAAGCAACTGAGTTTTGCATTCGTTTAATTTAGGTACCCTTGATGCAGTAATTGAAATTTCAGACAGTGAACTTTTAAATGAAACCTGTTGTGTGCGATTTGATAGGTACGATCTGAACCATTTATGTGCATTATCTGTTCGGCCATAATTATGATTTTAACAAATTTTAACTTTGTTAAAAAACATTTCCAGAAACGATAGTAATGATATGTTCTGAGCGTCTGTAACAGCAAACAAATTTGATATGACATGCAGTAGTGCAGTTTCTGTTGAATGAAACCGCCTGCAACCTGATTGATGCAAAGGCATTAGAATGTTGTTTGTCTAATGGTTTAGCAGAATCTTGAGAACAACACGTTCCATGATTTTTGAAATGAACAGAAGGTTCGATATCGGTCAGTAGTTTGCGACATAATTACCATCACACTTGACTTTTTATAAAATCGGGAAGACTACGGCATGTTTGAAATTTGTCTAGTGAATTTATTTTTAAATATATATATGTTGGTAATAGACCATGATTTTTACAATATTCTATAAATTCTACCAAATGTTTGGCGTTAATATGTTTGTAGTTCGTTTTTTCGATTTTTCTCACTAAAGTTTTTTGGTGAACGTTCACCAAAAAACTTCGGTAGAATTTATAGAATATTGTAAATATATATATATATATATATATATATATATATATATATATATATATATATATATATATATATATATATATATATATATATATATATATATATA